TGCTAGGATGGATGGAAAGGAAGCACCCAATGTTAAACTTTAATCAAACCATAGAATATTCATAAAAATGAACGATCAAGGGCAAAATCAAAGAGAAAAAAGTAAATTTACCTCGATTTGAATTGAGATAGAAAGAAAATGAACCACTTCTATTCTTGGAAATGAGGTATATGAAGAATGTGATGACTCTACTTGTTTTCGAATGCCGATCAATTATCAGACCACTGGATCTTTGAAGAAAAACCGAAGAGAAGTGAACACGATAAAAAAGAAGAACACAAAGAGAGACTGATGTATGAAAATAATTTTCTTTATCTAAAATAAAAGAAAATCTCTATAATGTTTTTTTTGCATATGGTGTATTCAATCGCAAGTTACATGTGTGAGTAAGACTTTATGTGGGACCTACTTGTATTAGAATTATTTCAGTGTTCCAAGTAATGGGCTGGATTTTTCCTGGCCTAAAAATAATTATGGCAACTTCTACGTCACACAAAATAGATAGCTCTTCTGCTTTCTTGAAAAAACTTGTTACTCTTTTATCTAGGATGGAATTTCTCACATTTTCAGTGTAGTTCGGAGTATCTCTCAACCTTTTTGTAGCCATATTTGATGCTCAAACAAAAAAACACTTTCTTTTGGAGTAGAATATATAAAACTTGAAGAGATGTGTGACTTTTATAGTTGACAAACATGAATTGTCAATAAAGTCAAATCAAGAACTTTCAAAATTTAGGTTCCAAAATTTAAATAATTTGATTACTGTAATCTGATTTTAAGGAAATTGTTATTTTTTTTCCTTAAAAGGATGAAAATTTGTTAATTTTCAAATTGAAATTGACAGGTCATATTCCATGATTTTTTGGGAGGTAGAAAACACAATAATTAACATTTTACATGGGCATATTTGGTAGAAAATGTTTGTAGAATATAAGCTTTATTACAAATGACGTAGCATATCCTTTGAAAAAAATTGCCTCATATTTCAAAATTTCGATAGATAAAAAAAAGTTTATGTCAAGAATGGCATAGGAAAATATATGAGTACTTTTAATTAATTATAATATTTTTTTTTCTTTAAAGATTGACAATAATATACCAATTGAAAAAAGTTTTATATATGGGATAAGAATTACTAAAGAAGAATGATTTCTTTTTCACAATTAAGAATTCTGATGACTCAAAATCTAAGGCATGATGTCACCTGCACTATCCCATTGGAAGGTAATCCAATCCTCAACCGAAATTAATATCAAACAATTATACAGAAATAATAACATTAGCAAAATTAAGTCTATAAACTCAAAGCTTTCATAGATATAATAGAAGTGTGAAGGTAAAAAAAAGACCCAATGTTACTAGTAGTTTAAGAGCATCAAATTAAGTACACATACTTAAAAAAATAGGACTATCTAAAGTTGTAAAAAGTAGGTAACGAAGATAGGAGAATATATATTTTCTCCAAATGCTCCGTAAATTTTTATATACATAACCTCAGATAAATGAAATTCATGGGGTTCGTAGGCCTAGGCAACACATAATAAATAAAACAAGAGTAGTATAACTAATGAATATGTGTACTTAGTCGGTTGGTGTAATGATTTGTTTTATTTTCTTCATATTTAGTAATTTTTGGTGTAATGAGTTGTTTTATTTTCTTCATATGTAGCAATTTTTATTCATTATGATTTTCTATGGTTGCATGTGTAATAGGTGTAGGGACAAAGAAAAAGGAGGAGGAGGAGGAGAAAAAGGAGTAGCAGAAAAAGGAGGAGAAGTAACAAAAGTAGAAGGACAAAGACAAGCAAAAGTATAGGGAGAAGAAGATGATGAATTAGAAGAATTTGGAAGAGAAAGAGAAGGGAAAGGGGAAGGAGAAGGAGAAAGAGAGGAAGTAGAAGTAGTAGTGTAATGGTGATGTTGGAATAAGTGAGATATTGCAAAGTTTATGCATAAGTTCTTCAATTTTCAAAAGGTAAAGTGTGATCACTGGAGGTTAAGTCATTTTACTTAAAAGCTACCCATTCTCGAGTAAAGGTCGGAATGGATAGATATGGATTTCATGGTAGGATTGCCATAAAATTTCCGTACATTTGATGTTATTTGGGTCATCATTGATAGGTTTACCAAGTCTTCTCACTTTTTACCACTTTAGACTTTATACTTTTCTGATAGGTTTAGAGGTTGCATAAATGAGATTGTATAAATTTGCAAGGGGTGCCAATGTCTATCAATTCAGATCATGACACTTAATTTACATCATATGTTTGAAATTTATCTCAGAAAGAATTGGTACTTAGGTTGATCTTAGCATAACATTTCATTCATAGAAAGGCAGATAGTCCAAAAAGGACTATTTAGGATGTGGAAGATAAGGTTTGGGCTTGTGTAATTTATTTTCAAGGTATGTGAGACTAGTTTTTGCTTTGGTAGATTTAGCATATAATAATAGATAATGTTTTGGTATTCCAATGTCTCTATTTGAGAGATTATATAATTGGAGGTTAGTCTATCATGTGATAGCTTAATGCTTTTGAAATTACGCCTTTAGGTCACTGACTTATGGATAAAATTTGGGAGATTCAGGAGAAGCTCGTACTGCTTAGAGTAGGAATAAGAGTTATGTTGGTTAGAGAGTGAGGGCCTTAGAATTTAGTTAAAATATCGAGTGTTAATGTTGGTGTAAACCATGAAAGGCATGATGAGGTTTGATCGAAAGGGCGAGCTCAACCTTAGTTTCATCAAACTTTGAGAGTTTTGTAGTTTGTTATGAAGGTGGCTTATTAAGAGTTAGATTTACCTTCAACCCTTTGGTTTATTGACCTTATCTTTAAGTATCTATGTTGGGACAGTATGTTTAAATATGCCTTTCATGGTTGACACCAACATAAACACTCGATATCTTAACTAAACTCTAAGGAGCTCATTCTCTAATTAACATAACCCTTATGCCTACTCTAAGCAGTACGAGCCTATCCTGAATCGTCCAAACTTTATCCATAAGTCAGTGATTTAATGGCCTAATTTCAAAAGCATTAAACTATCGCATGATAGACTAACCTCCAATTATATAATCTCTCAAATAGAGCCATTTGAATGCCCAAACATTAGCTATTATTATATGCTAACTTAACCAAAGCAAAAACTAGTCCCACATACCTCGAAAATACATTACACAAGCCCAAATCTTATCTTCCACATCCTAAATAGTCCTTTTTGGACTGTCTGCCCATCTACGAATGAAATGTTGTTCTAAGATCAAATCAGGAACCAATTCTTTCTAAGATAACTTCCAAATCTATTATGTAAATTAAGTTACATCATCTGAAATGGTAGACACTGGCACCCCTTGCAAATTTATACAATCTCATTTATGCAACCTCTAAACCTATCAAAAAAAGTATAAAGTATAAACTGGTGGAAAGTGAGAAGACTTGGTAAACCTATCAATGATGACCCAAATAACAACAAATGTACGGAAAGTTTATGGCAATCCTATAATGAAATCCATATCTATCCACTCCGACCTTTACTAGAGAATGGGTACCCTTTGAGTCAAATAACTTAACCTCAAGTGATCATACTTCACCTATTGAAAATTGAAGAACTTATGCATAAACTTTGCAATATCTCACTTATTCCAACATCACCATTAGAGTACTAGTTCCACTTCTTCTCTTTCTCTTTCTCCTTCTCCTTTCCCTTTCCCTTCTCTTGCTCCTCCAAATTCTTCCAATTTATCTTCTCCTTCTCCTTTTGCACCTTCTGCTTCTTCTCCTTATACTTTTCCTTTGCTTTCTCCATCTACTTTTGCTACTCCTCCTCCTCATGCTTTTTCTGCTACTCCTTTTCCTCCTTTTTCTCCCCCTCCTCCTCCTTCTTTTTAGTCCCTACACCGACTACACATGCAACCATAGAAAATCATAATGAATAAAAATTACTAAATATGAAGAAAATAAAACAACTCATTACACCAACCAACTACTCATTACACCAACCAACTAAGAACACATGTTCTTTACTTATACTACTCTTGTTTTATTTTATGATGCATTGCCTAGGCCTATCAAGCCCCATGAATTCCATTTATTTGAGATTATGTATATAAAAAGTTATCTTGCATTTGGAGAAAATCTATCTTCTTCTATCTTCCTTATCTATTTTTTACAACTTTAGATAGTCTTATATTTTGAAGTATATGAATTCAGTTTATTTTCCTTGAACTACTAGTAACACTAAATTTTGGATCTTCTTTTTTTTACCTTCGCACTTTGATTATATCTATGAAAGATTTGAGTTTATAGACATGATTTTGCTAATGTTATTATTTCTGTATAATTGATTGATATTATTTCGGTTGAGGATTGGATTACCTTCCAATGGGATAGTGCAAGTGCCATCGTGCCTTAGATTTTGAGTCATCACAGTTCTTAATTGTGAAAAAAAAATCATTCTTCTTTAGTAATTCTCATCCCATATATTAAAACTTACTTCAATCAGTATATTATTGTCAATCTTTAAAGAAAAAAATATTATAATTAATTAGAAGTACTCATGTATTTTCCTATGCCATTCTTGACATAAACTTCTCATAAACTTTTTTTATCTATCGAAATTTTGAAATATGAGGCAATTTTTTTAATGATATGCTACGTCTTTTGGAATAAAGCATATTTTCTACAAACATTTTCTACCAAATATGCCCATGTAAAATGTTAATTATTGTGTTTTCTACCTCCCAAATAAATCATGGAATATGACCTGTCAATTTCAATTTGAAAATTAACAATTTTTCATCCTCTTAAGGAAAAAAATTAATAATTCCTTAAAATCATATTACAGTAATCAAATTATTTAAATTTTGGAACCTAAACTATGAAAGTTCTTGATTTGAATATATTGACAATTCATGTTTGTCAACTATAAAAGTCAAACATCTCTTCAAGTTTTATATATTCTACTCCAAAAGAAACTACATTTTTTTTGTTTGAGCATCAAATATGGCTACAAAAAGGTTGAGAGATAGTGCAAACTACAATGAAAATGTGAGAAATTCCATCTTAGATAAAAGAGTAACAAGTTTGTTCAAGAAAGCAGAAGAGCTATCTATTGTGTGTGACGTAGAAGTTGCCATCATTATTTTTAGGCCAGGAAAAATCTAACCCATTACTTGGAAATCCCCAAGTCTGGCTCAGGATGTCTTGACGAGGTATTTAAGTTTTCTTGAATTCAAAAGGCTGTCAAAGTTGGTCACACATGAAGACTATCTTCAAAAGAAAGTTGATAAGAAAGAAGAACAAATTAGCAAATTAGAGAAACTGAATGAGGCAAAGGAAATGGAAATTCTCTTCAACCAACTAGTGGAGGGAAAAAGTATTGATGAACTTGATGCTAGAGAAATGAAAGGTTTGTTAAAGTTGTTTGCTCAAAAAGGGGTAAACTTGATGAAAGAAAGAAAGAACTTAACCAGGCTCCAAATCGTCAGTCCAACAAAGAAAACATTACCTTATCAGCAAGTATAATGGAAGAACCATTCAATGATCCGTGGTTTATTCAGACTATAGCTACATTAGGGGATGGGAGCAGTGTAGAGTCTGCACAAAAAGAAGGCAATGGCGTCAATGTTGAAGATGATGGACATTTCAAGGACCTCGATTGAGAATGTAATAATTATAATGTTCTATCATTGTCTCTTCGTGTTCTTTTTTCATAGTGTGTGTCTTAATTTTTTACATTTTTCTTTCCATTTCATGTTATTGTACTTTTTATTTCAATCATTTATGACTGTTATACTATTTTGTATGAAAGATGAACAAACATTGTTCGGTTAAGAAGTTATTTTTATCAAAGTTTTGGTCCAAGTTGAATCTTTATTTTTAGTTGTACATATTTTTTTCTCTTACTTTTAGAAACCTATGTTATTTGATACAAAAGATACTGCATGTATATAGAATATAATAATTGCATACCTGATGAATAATCGAGATATGTAGTATATCTTAACTTACGATTTATAAGTATTTGTCATCCCATTATTATTTTAGATTTTTCCTATTTTTCTTAGCTTTTGGGATAAATGAACAAATTGGATTTCAGATTTTTTTGTGGGAAAGGAATGGTGATTGAAAAAACATAAGGATTGACAGTGACGCGATATAAAAAGGCAAGGATTCCCATGGAGGATTTCTTCAATTTTGAGTGATATTTTATATTTAAAGTCAATTGGTATAGTGATATTTTATGGTTATACCAAGTAATCTTGTTGTGCCAACCAACCATTTGTGATACGACTAGTAACAGACAGCCACTACAAAAAATAATTGATTCATGGGGGTTATTTTTTCAATTTATGGTGATTTAGGGATTTCACTAATTAAAACGCGGAGGTTTCTAAACCTGTTACAATTACCATTGTCACGAGCATATTTGTAGCAGTTTAGTAAACGTTCACGACGCTCCCTGCAAAATGACTTTTAAATATTTGGAGGTTTAAGCCTTCAAAATATGATTTCAATATTAAAAAAATTAAATTTGTGTGGATTTGAATTGTGATGATATGTGATTAATATTTAATATATAATTTGATTTGTGGAGTGTTGCCAAATAATAATAAGGGATAATGCACAAGTACCTCCTCAACCTATGCCTGAAATCTCAGAGACACACTTTTACTATACTAAGGTCATATTACCCCATTAACTTATTTTATTAATAATTTTCTACCCCTTTTCGGTCTACGTGACACTATCTTGTGTGTCCAAAGCTGGTTGACTTTCTTTTCAAACTAGTCTCATGTAGGCCGAAAAGGGTAGAAAATTACATATAAAATAAGTTCAGGGGGGTAATAGGATCTTAGTATAGTATAAGTGTGTCTCTGAAATTTCGGGCATAGGTTAAGGGGGTACTTATACATTTTCCCTAATAATAATAATAATAATAATAATAATAATAATAATA